TGGATATCAAGTGCTGTCGCGTAGATTGCTTTTCTTTAAATTCGATGCGTTGTTCCCAATAAGTAGCGAATTACCAAAGAAAGAAATTATTCTTTGCAAACGGTGGGCATAACAAATCACTTCTAGTATGTCCAGCTCCCAAAAACTACGAACTGATGAGTGAACCTATTCCACCTCCTTCCATCGCACCATTGTTAATAAAGCAGTTAAGTAGCACTGATTATCGATTGTTTCTATACTGAAAGGCAAAGACTAGGGGTATATTAATGTTGCACTAAAATTCATTGGCAAATGTGACGGGATAACCGACACTTTAACAATTTCAGCCTTGTCGTGCGTAAAGAAGTGATATCTCTTCTACAACTCCCACGGTTCTCTCCACTTTGCCGAAATAAATATGATGCTTGGGGTGGTAAAGGTCATTTAGATCAGCTCCTTTCCTTCAGACTTGTGAGAATGTAATTTTGCAAAAGGACAGAAGCAGAAGTAGACGAAGATGGTAGAGTAGAAGAGAAGAACGTCAAAGCCAAAGGCCTAATGGATTGGGTAGCGCAGAGATAGCATAAAAGTGATTGGCGTTGTCGTGTGTGCTCTAAAGCAGAAACGTCATCCCGACAATCACCACCTCCATGACGTCGCGGGTGAAGGCGTACATAGGCTCGTCGCAGCCGAACCACATGGAGGTTAAGTTGTGGCAACACCTTCCTTAGTTCAGTACAATCATTGAATGCTACGTTAGGATGGAATTTAAGACTGACGAATGGAGAAGGTACGGCTTTGTAACCTTCCGAGGTAAAGCACACGGTACTCCTGCTCTGACTGAGGGTGGTTTCATGTATGCGAGGCCATATATGTACCACGTAGATTGGTCGATTACTAACACGCAGAACTTGGCTGTCAATTTCTTTGAAGCCCGCATTGTTCTGTGTGCCTTTGAATGTACGGCTTATTAGCTTACGTTGAGTGATGACTACTATGATATTACAATTTAAGTGTCTCGGTAATTTCCAATTGTTTTGTCCATTACGTGCACCACTAACTTCACACAATCTAGGTTATGCAAACCTGGTTATTACTACTTTGTACATTCATTCCTTGTGTACAAAAATTTCAGGAGTACCTCAACTGCAGTGTTCTTCAGGAGAACCAAGATCAAACTATTAGTACTTTCGTTGGAGATTCCCTCAGCGAGGCTTCGCTATTGGTGTAGCTACTAATGAGTTCATTCCAAAAAAAAGGACTTGAGCGAGGTAATGTGAGTATGAAGGCGTCTTAATTGCCCATTTTCTTGTCGTGCGGGCTATGTGAAAAAGTCTTGTCTCCTTCTCTGGAGTGTGAAAACAGTCTAATACGTTTAAAGGTCGCCTATGGTATTACTTCTAACGTTTCCTGGTGCAAAAAAGAGCCAAAATTCACTTACTTAGTTAAAAAACTGCTAATATTTCAAAATAAGTCTCCACCGCCTATAAATAAAAGTCAGAATCAGAACTGCCAACGCTTTGACAGATATGTTAATGCATTTCGATCACAGTAGCGGATTCACGGTTTTGCCGACCGTAAAATACTGCTAGATTTGCAGATTTCTGCACAGTCGGTTATTAGGTTTGGATTATCCCTAGTGTATTCGCTTCCACCATGCATCAAATTTTTGCGTCTACAGCGGATCTGTTGACGTATATGGTACTGACGATCCTTCAATGAGCTTTTAGGATCATCTTTGTAATCCAACGAATTTCGAGCCACGTACGTGCACCAATCAAGTCACTAAGTCTGGCAAATGGCTCCGCGATCTTGACTCAGTACCTTTGGAATGCTGCATCCACTATTTAATTTACCAGATAGCAGCCAAACATAGCCTCGGTGACGTACCATGTAGATAACTACTTGATCTCAAAGTTGGGCCCATAAGCACGTAAATCAGACATTTCCAGTTACCGAAATGCCACCCAAGATAAATAACACTTCTATTTCATATAATGCATATACTTGTCAAGATATTACCAACCAGTGATCTACCTACTAAACCACTCTTCAGAAGACAATATCCTTTAAATTGAGGTTGAGCTCGACTCTAGCATTTGCGCCTAATTGGAAGGGGGTGGAGGCAAAATTCCTATCACATTGCAAGCACTCATGTCTAAGAAGCTAAAATAATCCAGCTAAGTGACCCCTACTATAGCCAGTTTTGTTTCCCACAATTCGTACACAAGAATAAAAGTTTCTTGGTACGTCCAATGAGGGACCGTGGCAGAATATGTGCCTAGCAACGTTTATTTTGGCAAGTGGTATGAAATTAAATCCGTCTCATTTGGCATTAATCAACTTACTTACACTTTTTATGAGCAGAAACTTCAAGCATCGATTTAAATAAACCATACTAAAGAACTAGTGTCTTAAAAGCTTACAAGGCTGGTATGAAATGGTTCAGGGCTTTGGAAGCTCTTACTATTAGAGAATTAGTCGACATGTCAGCTATCATCAAGAAAATGTTGTTAGACTGTCATGTAGTGGACGTATGACGTGGAAATTGTCAAAATATCCTTGTGAATGATAGCGATCAAAGACGCCTCATACTCATAGGATAAAATTTTTAAAAGCACCAGTGAAGAAGGACCCAAAATTGGATTAGTTGTTATGGTCTCAGCAGTAAAACCACTGGGTATAGCATTTAACCAATGGCTGAGAAGAATCAAACTAAATACGCCCTAATATTTCTTCTTATGATTATCGTAATGATATTAATTCAATGAATGACATAAATACCATACAAGTCCACGGACTCAGTGAAGATGACAGAAACATATATGTAGTCTGTTCGATCAAATTATATTTAACTTTTTAGTACAAAATTCTGCTTTTTATTTGGATGACGACAAAATAGGCGAGTGTTTGGAGGCCATAGGGAAGAGGGGAATTAAACAGTCAAAAGGTACTTACAAGAATGCGACTAAAATTGGTAAGAGCATGTGTATTGGTATTCCCTACAAGGGTAAAGTCATGTCCAGAGTAGGTTATTCTGAGCTTTCGTCTATCTCAGGGAACTACGACTACTCCTCCGCTACCTAATTTGTGTTCTTTTAAAACCGCTCCTCTAAACGGTGTGGTTAAGAAAAATATACATTGCATTAGAGTCAGAGTTTACTTACATTAGTTATCTCGATTTTAATTACACGGCGTAACATGCTTTTGTAGCGATCTTTCTTCTTGCCCTAGAATATAACTTTTATTGTCGGCTGGTGAGTGGATAAACTTCTTAGCGAACATATTTTGGACTTGAGAAATCTAGTAATTTGTGCAATATTAGTAGCTGCAAAGCCATTCAAACTAAACGCTAAGACCACGCATTATCCCTTGATTCTCTCCGTACGACAGCAATAGCATATTGTGCATGAGCACTGTATTATTTTCCGCCTTCATGAGCTCCCGACGCAGTACAAGAGTATGTCGGGTCTAATGAATCCTGTCAACGAAACCTTGCCTGCAAAATGAGTTATGATATTTACCTTAGTTAATTTAACTATAATGTACTATGTTCTCCAATCTATCAAAAAGAAGAGGCACAAGTCCTGAAAGCATGCTGTAAAAGCACTCCATAGAGGTAATACATAAAATTTATTAACAATAACATAAAACATACAAGAATTACGAAAATACTTGTAGTAAAAGTAGCATACTTAATTTACATTCGATAGGAATTTAAGAAGTTTTCTTGACTTTGGCCTTTAAAATTATCGTGCAAATCTCCTTGTGTCCCTGACTCCTAGAAAGCGACAAAGCCGTCTTTCTGTCCACTTTTCTTCGCACTTTAGGATTAGCCCCTGCAAATTTTCGTACGCATTTTTTAGCTGAATACGACAAATGACGAAAGCAATGCCTATTTTGGTATAATTTGTTAAGCCAGGGCTCACTTAATCTACTTGATCAAAATCAAATAATTTTGGCACGTCTCGATTTAGTATTTTACATTTTTAAGCAGTATTTAGAAAAATCTCAGGTACTGAACTATACATGTAAATGAAAGCACAAATCAAACCTCGTACCAGTGACCAACAAAGCAGCAACCATTTCTCTTTTACCAGTCTTTGCAGCTTTCATGAGTTGCGTGTAATCTTGTCCACCTAATTGCTCAATATTTGCCCCATGGGCTATAAGAAGGTCTAAAATGCTGACCTTGTTGGAGTCGATAGATAAAAAAATGACTGGTGAGCTTGTGTCGTTGGAATGATTAGCATCTGCACCATGGTTGAGTAGGATTTGAACCAACTCTACTCGACCAAATAACACGGCTTCCCGGAGTGCTGCATTTAACTCTGCGCTCCTATCTACTATAGGAGAGCCACGCTCTAAGAGAAGCTTTACCAAGTCCACTTTGCCCTGTGAAAGCAACAAGTAAAGGCACATGCTCACATTTCACAGTATTTTGGTATTTGCTTAGTTAGGTGAAATAGGGTATGTGAAGAAATGGGAACAATCGGTCTTAAATGCAGAAAAATAACTTAGGCAGCTTTTTAAACTGGGGAAAAGCTAGTGAATCTCATACGAAATAAAATACTTGACTCACTGATCCGCATCCTAGAGTCAAAGCGGATTCCTTGTTAGCGTTTAGTTGAGAGCTTACTATGGCGTTGTTGTCAAACAGATGTCGAACAATCTCAGTACGACCTTTCATGGTGGCCCGCATTGGTGGAGTGCACTGTCTGTGATTCACGACTTCCGAGGGACTGTGTTGCAGGAGAAACTTCACGCAGTTTAAATGTCCTCCAGCAGCTGCACAATGAAGGGGAGTGTTGCCCTATCTATCGGTTTGGCAAATTGATGCTCTGTGTTCCAGAAGGTCGTTCGTCACATCATAGCAACCGAATTCAGCGGCCAGTGTGAGCGGAGTTTTTCTTCCATATTTTTCGTACATATTTGGATTCGTCTAAATACAAGTACTGCTAGTACACTAAAGACTATGGCATTTTCTTGAAGTTGTTTTTAAACACACATAGGAACAGTGAAATAGAGACTCAAGTTAAGGTATTTTATGGTGCTTCTTAAAAAGTGTTAACCTTGCCAATATACACTGCGACTATTATTACTGCTTTATGAGGACTAAGGCGCTATAATTTGGCTTCGAGGCTTGTGGGGTGACATTTAGGGCAACAATCAAGTAATCAAAAGAGAATGGGCGGATATTGTTACATACGCCCTTTTTAAGCAGCTGTCGAACAGAGTGCACGTCATTCGCGCCAGCTGCTCTCAGTAGTGCCATCCCGCTCTCATCCGCACGAATTGCTGGTAGCTCGTCTACATTTAGTTGATTCTCCTTCAAAATGCAGAGTTAAATGCATAAAGAGAAAAAGCTGACAAAACAATTTGTTGAAAAGTCGTTTTTGCAAAAAGGATAAAACCCGAGTCCTACTGCATCAATGGTAATCGTCATGGTATCTAGTAAAAATAAGGTCTATGTTCGATAAGTATGGGGCAAACTAGGTGTCCTAGGAGCAAATTCTGAGGGATTTCCATTAAAAATGTCTTTACATAAAACATTTAATTTTGAATGTTAAAACTACATTATTACCTTTGCCTCATCCATTTCACCTAAAGAAACATTTGAGCCAACTGAATGCTAGTTTGAACACTGCCTCCATGATCGCCATTGCTGATCTCTCTTTTGTTTAAATTGGATGATTCTGCTCGTGCAAATCCAAAAGCACGTTAATTTTAGCAACGAGTTCATTTAAGATAGGCAAAAAATAATTTTAGCATTGATAGATACAAAAACAATTAGTAGATTTGAAATTGATGAACGAGTGAATGAAGCGTTATCATCCCAAACTTGATAGACGGTTGATCCCAATATAGGGTTCGACAGGTACAAACAACTCTAGATAGATGGATGGATTCGTAAACAAGTGACAGATGGAGAGCGAAAGAATCAGTAACAGACTGCTTGACAAATGCTTCTGACGCTAATGGATGGGTGTATCATATATGACTGAATGTGTAATTGGATGAATGTCAAGCGTGAATGAGGGATAGATTTTCTCAAAATGGGTGAGAATAAAGACAAACAGATTAGCGATAATGGATTGGAAGTAGATGGATTTGGGTTTGATAGACTGCTGCACTCTGAATTAATGAACAGGGGTATCCGATATGGCAATGTTGACTAAGACTGGGTGGAGAAATGAGTAAATCTATCGATGGCTTTATCATCCACATGCATTATGTCAAAATAGAAGGCACTAGCCTAAGTACAGTAGGAAGGTGATATTTTACTATTCGCCTACCGTTCACAGTGTGCAGCCTCACCCATTCCAACCACCACATAGCCGCCAGCACTACCCTCTCCAGGTAGAAGTGGCTTGAACGTAACCCGAACAGTGCGTAGTTGCACCCACGTCCGCAACGGCTCTTGCCGAACCTGTAGCACTATCATCGTCAAGCCCTTGTGCAGTGGACCCAGCTGCTATAAAAATGCCTGCCGTCGCGGACCTGTAGTTTGCACACATTAGGGAGTGATGACTACTAGCGAATTATGAGTGGACACCAATTACCTGACATCCGGAACATAACAAAGCAATGCCTCATTACTCACAAATTTGGACCACCACCTCAATAGCATGCCATCCATTCGTATTAATTCTGTCTTTGGCCTACCATTTCTGTACTCTTGCACCCATGTTCCACCCAGGCGTGTGCTTTATAAGGCCTTCAGAGAGGACCAAGGCAATACAGTCGTAGCAAAACGACAGCCCCGACGACGCCTGTGCTGCCAGTCTGCCAACCCCTCCAATGATATCATACCTTACAACCTCTTTAAAAGTAACTTGAGCAAAAAAAATTATTCACTTTTAATGGAAAAAAGTCCTGATTTAGTCTTCGCATTGTAGGCAGCTGATACTGGTACATACATCTCGGGGGGAGTCGCTACTGACACTACGCCAACTACTCACAGCTGTCCCCATCATCAATTTCGAGAAGTTGACCAGTGATAGAGTGGGACTCAGTTTCACCGAATCATAACCGTGCGCTAAGTAGCTGGTTGCCTGTCATCGGGAACTATAATCGGTATATGTTCTCAGTTGCTGGCAGTAACCCTGTCAACTGGCCAGGCTGCAGGATGAGAAGTTAAAACATATAAAAAGAACAGCTTTGCGAAGGTGTTTCACATTAATCTGCATAGTAGTCTCATTCTCGAGAGAATGCGCTAGCAACTGGCACTAAGAGGACCTGCTGTAGGATGCTAAATTGAATTCTTCGCCCTGGCTTATAAAAAAGCATCACTGGTGATGCCACGGTCGTCGGAAGCGTGCCTTTCCAAATTATGGAGTAAATCATCGCATGGGACTCGGTCTAATACCGTTGGTGGTTTAAATGCGTTTGGATACGAATGGAAAAGTCTAATCACCCCGAAATCAGCCTTAATTTTGTAAACTATTAATTTTATCTACGCTTTAAACACACGTGGCACCACCAGCAATAAATCGGTTACTGCCATGTCAATGAGGTGACATGGAACATCGACAATCTGTGCAAAACCAGTATACAAGTTAACAATAAAGCTCCTTTTATAATGGCAAGCTAGTTTGTATTTGCACGAAAAATCTTCACTATCTCAAACTCTCCTCAATGGCATGATCGGTGAGATGGAGATGAGAAACTTAAACTTCCTTGGCGGTGGTATCGGCAACAACGACAGAACGTAGGAGGTGATTGAAACGCCGTTTAAGCAGTTAGCGGTCTCCGCAAAGAGGTTATTCCAGCAAACATTTGGTCATCGTTCTTGGCGCTCTTCTTCGCCAGCGGCTGACAGATCGACAACATTATCTTCGGATAATGATGAAGCCAGCAGCATCAGTCACAGCAGTGGTGTGTTGCTCTGATGACAACGATAGTAATGGTGCCTCGGTATACCAAAAGCCTATTAGTATCCTCACCTCTCTGCCATGATTGCTCTCGTTTCACCAGCATCCTCTTCTAGGGGGCAAAATTCTGGATTCCTTTAGACCTCTTTGCTTTCGTTTATTCACCATCGCCCATTAAGAGGAGAGTGTATATATCACGTAGCAATACTAGAAGCTGTACGGATAGTGCTGGAATGCCGCCTAGTGTGGCTACTCAATTTGGCCTTGCCACCGTAACATGGCTTACCATTATGAAAGTAGCTATGAGCATAGACCTCAAACAGCGAAATTAATATATTTTATGAATTTCCGGGGGCCAAAATTTCCTTTTACTCTACTGGTATCATTGGCAAAATGGGGTCTTTTATGCTAGTGCACCTCAATTTTAACTATTAGCCTAACAGCTGATGATTTTGTAACAGCCTTCATCCACTCTAAGAAATCGTGGCAACAGAGGCAGTAGGGAAGTATCCCACTTCGAAACTGGGGTTTGCTTTCCCTACTTTTCTTCCCTCGTTAACAGAGCGCTTGGTTTTGCTTATAGTGACTTTAACAGATTCATAACCGCAACTTTGATCCTTTCTTTAACAGAGGGTTCATTTCTGGCAGAAGAGGTGGCATGCATTAAGGTCGCTTTCAGGTCAGTCAGGCGTCGACAACATCACTCTTCATGTTGTGTCCAGGCTAACGTCCTACTATGCGAATATTTTTCCATATTATACTAGCATTTTTTTAGGGTTCTCTCATGTTATTGTCGGTAACATAGTTAAGCCGACCACAGAAACCGTCTAGACTAATTATAGATATAGCTGCTGCTCTAAATATGGCAGCATAAATATCATAGGAGCCTGCCTTTGGTAGAAAAGGAACTGTCAAGGCTTCAGTTTCTTAGTGGTAGAGAGGATACCCCCGAAAAATTAAGGACAGCCTTAGTGCTACGTGGGAAATCGTCTTCAAGAATTACGTATTAAGACAATTCTACACATGGCCAATTTGACTATCCAGGTTTTCTAGCCCATGACGATATGCTACATTCGCTCTTCCTAGATGGATGGTTGGATAGCCGTCCTTTTTTAGATGAATTTGACTGACAAGGTACTAATTTAATGTTGAGGGCGGTGCTAGTTTTTCCAAAGCCTAACGACTGGGGCAACGAGTTGTCTCCACATTTCCTGCCGTTTTCATTACTCGCCATTCCCTTCACGTCTTTCGTGACTTATGTGTCTTATTTTTGTAGTGCCGTTACATACTGCACAAAGTGAATGCTCAAGGCCTATTAAGTAGTCGGTCCTGATAAAAAGGTATTGAAGTAGCACAGATGTCACTAGAAACTAGAATATTTTCTAAGGGGCTAACGATGAATATTTGGAATTTCAAGAATTTTCTCTTGCCGGGTATTGATGATTCTGTTTGTCTCACGCAATCGTTGGGATAGCCTCATGCAGCATAAATGTACCAAGGGTCTATAACGAGAAAATGAATAACCCCTGTATATATCTTTGGTAGAATGCGCGTCCAGCAGCCTAGAACGTTTAACTGGTCACCGAAAGCGACAGCAGTGACATGGCTTTCAGTAGTATAATTACGAAGGACTTTAGCAATTTGGCTAAAATTATTTCGTTTCCAGATATTAATATGTTAGTGATATAGTTTAAGCAACTGTTTAGAACTTTCACTTTCTTTGAATTTAGGCAAATTTACCCGGATTAGGATGCAATGATTAGAAATCCAAGCTCGATTGGTAATGTTGACTATTTAATGTAATGCCACTGAAGCACATAAGTGAGAACCACAGTTAGGGATCAGAAGGGCAACAATTGCTGAGGCAAAGCTAGAGTTGAGGAGGGAATGACAATGTCTCTCAGCAGTAAAATTTGATGCACCGTCCAGGAAAAGCGCAACACTCTAAGAGATCAAACTTAAACATCGCGAAGAATAGCGCAGTGTCACTCTATTAAGGGTAGAAAACCCACCCAGGCAGCTCTAAATGGGTTTTCTAATTTGCTCTTGGGTCACCATCCCACCTAAGCGAGTGTTTTTTTTATTTTCTTTATTTGTATCTTTATTATTACTAAAGCTGTTCCCCAAAGAATTGGCTACCCCATCTTCTCCACAAGTATTTAATTGCCACGTCTGCTACCGGCAATTAAATTTCGCTGTTTAAGAGAGGCGTAGCATATGTGTAGTTTGTTCCTTTACTATTTATCACAAATTAAGAGGAACCAGATTACCCATAGCGACAACCCCATGCGAAAATACGATTTCTTTTTTTAGAATCAGCCTTAATTTTTTATGTGCGTGTATTTCAGTTAAGGCAAGCAAGAGACAAGCATAAACATCTGAACTAGTGATAGAATAAATAAAGCAATTTAGTGAAAATAAGGGACTATATTGAGCCGATTCCAGTGGGTTGTCTGTTATAGGCGAGACAGCCCCAAGTTAGAAGATTCTGCTTTTATCTGCACCTCCTTGGGCTTCCTTTCCATGGACAATGGGTCTGGCTAGATAGTTGCACTGGCTGTTTGCGCTATATCGACCAGTGGACGGAGATCAAAGAGACCGCGCGTTCAAATTAAACCTCCCCCACCCCAAAGATCGTACTTGCCAAACGCTTCTTACCTAAGATGTGCATTCAAGCAAACACGCTTTGCATCGATCTTCGACTATTTTGGGTACTGTTCCAAATGCCCCTCTTATGAATGGTCTCCGCACTCACTATCGGCAATGGTCTTTCTTCTTCCCTTATTTCGCGAACTTTGTTGCAGCATCCACCTTTGTGCTGCTGCGTATTGTTGTGGTGAAGGAAGACTAATTGAGCACAGACCTATGAATTAAGGAGAAGGTAGTTTGTTGGTGAGATGAATTACATCAACTGGGATGCCTCATGCCCCATAGATGATGGGACCTATGGTGTAGTCCAGGTGACGTGATCGGACTGCATAGTTGCACTGGTTGTGTATCCCGGTAGACATTAATCTAACTATGCCTTTCCTACCAGGCTTCATTCACGGTCTTTAGGTTATGCATGCACAACGAGGGCTGTAGTAGCCGAATCAGGGTCCAACCCATCCTTTCCACATGTCTATTGGCTTGCAGATGTTTGGATGTCGTGCAGTCTTGAAAATCCCAAAGGTCTGGCAAAGCTTTGAAAGGACTCAGCTCTGTATTGACAAATACAATGATTGATCATAACTATAGCCACCGTTCTAGCTTCTTGTGCCTTTAAGGGTTCCGCCTAGATTGCGTTCTTGAATAATATTTGCTTCCTAAGTGGGCAGCAGGAGACCCTTGATGTCAATACCTATACTTTCCTCAGAAATGTCTGTTAACACAGACTGTAGACAGTGGTCCCATTGCTGTAAGGTTAAACTTTTCGAAGCTGCTGTAACTAAGGCAGCTTTGGCAAAAATCAGTCAGGTCTGGAGTGATCTCTGGACACCATTATCTTTTGCTTTGAGACACCTAGCACTTTCATTTCTCACACATGGTCCGGATGATCCTGCTGCTTTAGAAGAACTATTTGAATTAGTGAGTCTAGAACCACTAGGGACTCTAGCGGGTTAACATTTTCTTGTTACAAAAAAACCTACTTCTCAAGAGTTAGTTCTGAACATACCTTCCATACCCGTTGGGCAAACTTGCACTACTAGACCATTCCTCTCTCCGATGGTGCCAAGAAGGTGTAAGGAATCTCTTGCACATTAGAGCCGTGTCGGGATCCTGGGTCAGTGCTTCGAACATTTTCCTCTCAAAAATATGATATTTGTTGCCATGCAACACCACCTGTTTGCAGATTTGCATGAATGCAAGGATTTCCCTTACTGTAGTGCGCTGTGAAATCTTGATATTGCCGTTCCTCATACCAGTGTGCAATCAACAATCTCCTTCACTGCCTTAACAGGGTCGGCCAACACCTAATGATCCGTTTTCACTACGATCTTCCGTGCCAGCAGGTAGTGTCTAAAGTGTCTGGCTATTGTAAATGTAGCGGAAAGCCTACGTTGTGTGGACCCCAAGCCATTAGCCAACACACTTGCATGACTGCAATCGGAGCCAGCCTC